AGATTGGTACCACCCTGCTGTGTGTGGTGTATGTGCGGTACATGGTGTATCGTGCGGGTATGTGCGGTACACGGGTTATCCTGCGGGTTTTAGTATTGTCGGGCGCCAGGAAAATGTGACCATTTCTGGGTACAAAATTGACCACTTCCGGGTACACCAGTAACCAACACCGGTGACACCAGACGGTCTGGAGATGCCGGTGGCTACCTGGGGGTACCTGGGGGTGCCGGCGCGTTGATTTCTAAGTGTACCCGAAAGTGGTGATAAAGTACCCGGGTATACCCGTTTCTGGTTACGTCTGCTAAAGCCAACATTGGCAGGAACGAATTCCGTGCCAACACGAAAAACGCCTGCAGAACCTACACAGAACCAGATATCAATTTCAAAAAAGGGTTAGCACAGCAAGTACAGCTCTTCCCTCTTCCCAAAGGCTAATACGAAGCAGCACTTAGCAGCGGACCCGTAGTGGTTAACCCCAAGGGATCTACGAGGCTGGGCACCGCCAGTAGCATGGATGCAGCTGCAAGTGNCTTGCGTGCGTGTTGCGCACTTCTTTCTTCCTTCTCTCCTTCCACCGCTCCCACCGTCTCTCTCCAATCAAGTTCCTCCTCCCACTCTCTCTCCACCTCTCTCTCAATCTCTAACACGGTCGACTACCCAGTGCCCCAAGTAACGCCCAGGACGGGCTTGCTGCACCCCGCGTAGTTTAACCTTTCATTCCGTAACTAACTCTAGTACTCTGATCCATGCCAACTTCTCATGTCATATTTTTATTCTTAGTACTTCAAGTCCTAGATAAGGAACACTTCCAAGTTGGGCACCACAAGGGTCAGCAAGAAGGCATGACCCATAGCGAGGGGGGGGTCTTTCTGGCGAGCAGGGCCAGACTCACCCTCAAGGGACCGATACCTTCTTGCTGCGGCGCACCCGCCGCGAGGCGTGCGTAGTGGTGGAGTTGGGTCGGCACTGGTGCGTCAGGTACAAGGGTGCAGATGCGCGGGCCTCCCCGTCGGTGTAGGTAGCAATGCTCATCTCATCGTTGTGCGCGGAGGCAGACGTCATCAGAAAGGTGGACGGGCACTATGTACACGGCCCTAGGTTTTATAGAGGGAGCTGTACTGTGTCAGTAACGTGGTTTTGCGATCGAAGCAGGAGGAGACAGGTGGTGACGAGCTGATTGGGCTGGTTGACCCTTCGGCGCGAGAATTTTCAGACCAAGAACCCAAGTGCAACGAGGGAGAAAGCGAGGAAACGACTGGGAAGGACAGCAACGAGAGCGTGTACGAAGCGGAGCGGGTCGAGTTTGGTCGTGGTAGGACTGGCCACAGCGGCACCGGAGTAGCGGCACCGGAGCAGCGGCACCGGAGCAGCGGCACCGGAGCAGCGGAAACGGAGCATGCGGACGGCATCGAACAGTGGCGCACGGACAAACATATCTTCTTCTTGTGTTCTCAATTATTTTCGCGGATCACTCGGGTGCCTTAATTGTGCACCTGCATCGTGGAAGACCCCTTCAATGTGGAACGATTCCTAGTCAGTGTCAATGTTTACACTGCTGTGCCTAACACAGATGATCTGGATAGATTCGGGTGATTGTCAATTGCAATGATGGCTTTGGTTGGGTGTTCTTCCTTGTTGAATGTCCACAGACTCATTCTGACCGCACTTCAGACAGCAGCTGCATGGCCCGAGCTTGTTGTGTACCATGCACCATGGTGTTAATATTGTACAGACAGCACTTCAGACAGCAGTAAGCTGTAGACTAGTCGACAAACATTCATTTTGGGTAAATGCGGGACAAAAGGGGGTGATGTCGCTGTTGTATGTAGTCGAATTGTAGTGTGTTTGGCGTGTAGCTCAGTTGTGAGCACGCGAACGTGCTGCAGGGATTGAAGGTGTACCTCCTCGGGCTTGTTTACCCTAGTCTTGCTAATAGTGTGTTCTTTAGATCTTCTGATGGCTCTACGTGTATCATTTTTGTGACCACGGACCGAGTCTTGGCTAGATTTTGGGATTATGGCAACTGACACGAGTTTAACCCTTTTGTTACCACACCCCGAATGTTGTTCTCTTCCTGTCGCACAAGTTTTTCGTCGAAAGTCGCACTGCAAGCGCGGGCTCGACAGCGCGAAAAGACCGCGTTCTCAGAGGAAGTCTGAACGCGGGGACACCAGACACACAGTTCCCGACGCAAGTATTACACGAGCAGGGAGTTCCACTGCGGTGCAGATCCGCGAGTGCGCGCCAGACGACGCACACACACAGACGCCAGCAGGTGCGATGAAGACGTAATTTTTCGCCCTGCTGGCGGCTTTTCTCTCCCGCACCATCATGGCTACTGCTGCTGCTACTGCTGCCGTGTCTGCTGCTGCCCTTCGCCCCGAACCTGAAGTCGAAGTTACGGGGGTGTGCACACCCCAAGAGCTCCTGCCCCAAGCCTACCGCCTCGGCCGTGATGAACCCGCGGACAAAGGCGTGATGACCTACTGTTGGCTGGATTCGATAGTGCAAGAGAAGCTACGGACGGAGTGGCTGGACTTGTGCTGGCTTTCACTCATCCCCGAAATGTACGGGGTCAACATTGCGGTTTGGGAGCCTACCGGGAGAGGGCAGTTGGTGCAGCTGTACAAGAAGAACATGTGGGGCCTGTGTACTCCCTCTCCCTCTCCTCCTTACGCTGCTGCTCGGCAAAGTCCCTGTCCTCCTTGCGCACTTGCGCAGCCTCCTTCTTCTCGTCCGAACGCCTACGGTCCTTGAACTCTTCCCGCTGCAACTGGAGCTCAAAAGCCTTATCCTACTTCTGCGACGCCTCCCTCATCATCCTGCGGGGTTCAGTCAAGACAACAGGCGGAGAGGGACAGACGAGAGAGGCACAGACGAGACAACTGTTAGTCGGTATGAAGAGGCACAGCTATCTCAACTTACAAGTACCGACAATTCAGACGTCATCGAGCTTGCATCGAGCTTGGGTGCCAACCAAGCGACCATCCAACTGCCGTTCAAGTCGATCCGTAATTTACGCTCACCTCATGCCAACACGAAAGCCAACGTGGGAGCTCAAAGGCCGTGTCCCGACCCCAGGACATGTGCTGAAAAACAGTTGCAAAAATCATGTCTCATCAGTCATTTACTGAAATCACTGACATCCCACAAAGACAGTCCTCGTCCATACTTACTGCAGAAGGCCATCCTCGCTCGCACGGTTGGTCGTGTTCCGTGTCTTCCTGCTGCTCCTCGGGGCACGCTTCCCACCTCCGTCGGCTTGTCCATCGCCCGACAAGTCAAACACGTCACTGCTGGCGCTGCTCCTGGCGCTGCTTGGATGCTCCGGTGAGGTGCCATTGTTGGGTTTCACGGTGCCGTACACAAGCAGGGTGGCCAGCTTCTCAGATAGCCCGTCTAACTCCTCCTCCGTTGGACACCCAGGATC